TACCATTATAATAATAACATTTTTAATATTTAGAATATCTAGGTAATACGTATTGGTAATATCAAAATAACAGTATTTGCAAAATAAGTAGCCGTTTTTATTGGGGGATGCACAAATCAGGAACAATAAATAAATAAATATTTTACAAAGCAATGTTGGAGCAATGTATGAAACGTCAAATGGTATAAGATATGCGACTTTGTCTTTATACGGAAGAGAGAACTGTGTTTTCTAGCCATATTTTGCAAGTTATTAGCGTGTTTTTACCAACAGCACATGCACGACACTTTTTTTTGCTTCATATAGTCATGTAGTGCTTCATAAAAGTGCTATAAATGCAATCCGGATTAACGGTTTAGTTTGAGGCCATTAAAATCATTCATTTGGCTGGCTCCATAAACAAGAAGCTGTATTGGTATGGCACTCCATAATCACAGTACAGATCATAGATACCGTACGTACGCTCGCAGGTGGTGCCAATACTTTATTATGGGATCTACTTTTTATAGGAGCATGGAATTGAATGCTCAGTCCATTATTATTAGTGTATTAATATGATCATGGAGCACCATTCCAATACTATTATGGAGCATCATTCTAATACAGTATAATTTATAAAGTCCATATGCCATCCAAATGAATGAAAGTGCTGAACGAATGTGCTGTTAGTAAGCTAATAACAAGCTATTTATTGAAAAATGGAATTAGAGGCATTTTAAGTATTGTATTATATTATTATTTTATTACAGGTTTACAGTGAGAAACATGTAAACAGTTTGATATTAATATAGCATTTTCCTAGGCTGGCATATATTTTCACTACGTAGAAAGTTCACTAAAATCATTCAATTTGAGCTAATTTGCTATAAACCCATCTTTGCACACATGATTTGGCTGATGAGTTTGAATGCCAGTGATAATAATGATCCAAACTGCTGTTTAGTGCTCATGTAAGGGCACCCCCCCGCCCCAAATGAGCAGTAAGGTTAGTACGTAGATTGATGAAGTTGCTCTATGATCGGCTACTTTACTTTATATTAGAAGGATTACAGTTGCTCTTCTAACGTAAGCAGTTACTAAAACGGAGTCTACTATCTGGTTTAAATCGTAACTGGGAACACTGCACTGATAGTGAGACATTTTCAGCAAGAAATTCATGTATGTATACACATCGGAGGCACGTAGTGCATATGATTTGGTTTCCTTTGTAAGTGAGGTGATCGTGAAGGGCATTGCTGACACAGACGGACATCATCTATACACAGTATATCCATCTATAATTATAACCTGAATTCTTTTAGGTTAAACCTTAAAAGTGCCAACATTGTTTTCGTAAAACATTGTGTGATTACTTTTTAAAACGCAAGGTCATTTTGATTCCCGGCAAGCGCCGCATAATCATTCGCCATGAATATGCGATCATCTGCTGTGTACTGCTAACGTTTCAATCAACACAGATAAAAAATATTAGAAACATCTGCCAGAGGGAAAGAAAGTGTTTAAGGCTGAGGGGCTGATGAGGCCTCATTATGAAACTGTAAGCAGGTTATAAAAGAACATCAGCATCAAAAAAGCATTTGGCAAGCATGTGTTTGGCACTGACTGCTCTGGCACACCTCTTCATTTAATTTGTTCTCTCTCTTTGTGTGTGTGCGTGTGTGTGTGCATGTGTGTGGTGCAGAATAATAAATACCCCCATGACTGCTGGCAATAATGAAAGCACAATTCAGGATCATACTACAATTGTTCCACGGTGTTGATATTTAATTGCACACTAGTCTAGAGTATATGTATAATAACTCTACTGTGTGTGTGTGTGTGTGTGTGTGTGTGAGAGAGTGTGTTTGCATTAAATGTGTTCTTTGCATTACTTTTGTTTCATATCCACTACTGAACATGAAGTAATTTTGTGAGCATCATCATAGCAGAGAAACTCCAAATATTACAAATGCGAACAATCAGCGCTGTCATCAACAACAGCAACCTAATATAGTCTATATATCATTTAACAATGTTTTGTCTTGGCAGAGAAACACTGTAACCTGAGTTGGCTTGGGTTAAATTACTAAATGATGATTTAAATAACAGAATTCACACTTCCCACATAACATCACGCATGTTTGCTTCTTGTATCAAGTTTCCCACATCGCCAAGGACTACTGTACAATTCCAATGAAACCAAACAGAGTCTCATGTTATAACTGTACTGGCAAAGTGACACAACTGCATCATGGGTCAACTGTAACACCGCTCAAAAAACACTGTACATGCACATCAAGAAAAATGCATTCGGCACACACAGATTAATCACCCATTTATATGAACTGATATAATAAATGATGATATCCTTCCTTGGGGTTTTGTTTAGGTTTTTTTTCCATTTCAGTTTTTGTTATAACATAGTAATCATTATTATTATGGTATGGTAAGGTGGATATTAAAAAAGTCTACACACCCCTGATAAAGTTGCGGATTTTGTGATGTAAAAAATGAAAATAAGATAAATCATATCAGATCTTTTTCGAATTTAATGTGATATAGCAACAAACAAAAAAAAAGAACAAAAACAAATAGAAAAGTTTTAGAATGAAAAAGAATGCATGGCAAATAAGCAGCGGATCGATTGATTGATGATGCAGAGCTTATAAAATGTCATCCTTTTTGTTGTTTGTTTTTTAGTCATTTCCATTTAACTTTTTTGTTGTATCATAGTAATCTTTATCATTATGATATAGCATATGGTTTAACTAACCATCCATCCATTTTCCATACTGCTTATCCCACACAGGGTCACGGGGAGCCTGGAGCCTGGAGCCTATCCCAGGGAGCACAGTCGTAAACACACTCACACACTACAGACAATTTGGAAATGCAGATTTGGAAATCAGTCTTTGGAATGGTGGAGGAAACTGGAGTACCCGGAGGAAACCCCTGAAGCAAAATCCATGCACACAGGGCAGAGGCGTGATTTGTACCCCCAACCCCACAGGTGCTAACCACACCTAAGACACCATGCCCCCTTGGGTTAACTATAATTGTATGTTTGTTTGTTTTTTTAAAGGAAGAAATCATTGTGAGCTCTGCATCAATTTGCAATTCATCCTTGCAAGCGTGGGAATTAGTGTGTGCACAATCTTCTCTGCCTCTTAAGGGTCTGAGAGCCTCTGAAGCAAGATGCATTTTATAACAGGTGTTACAATTGTACTCATGCACCCACTGTTTCTCTCAGTCTTGCAAACAGAAGTAGCATGTGCACACTCTGAATACTGTGCTACCGGTTGGTGTAGAGCAATGTTTGTACACAACTGTACAGAATTCAGATGGACATTAAGGAAAATCTTAAACATTAAGGAAAAACTAATACTCAAAAAAACACTTTCCTTTTTCTTCTTCTTTTTTTCACTTGGCTCAAATTTGTTTTTTCACAAATATCTCCAGCAAGAGATTTTTCAAAGGCGGAGTTAATGTCATCACCCCTAAGTTGATTAGTTTCCAATAACAGAGCATCCTGTCATGCTTATACCTCAGCAATTTGACAAGTAAACATTTTTAATTCATTAGTGAATTGGCATGCCATGATTTTTAGCCATTTATAGTTACATTTAATGTTGTGGAATGTCCACAAAACAAGTTGGTTCCTGTTATCACTTACGGTATAGCAGCTATAAACATTCACCCCTCACCAGCCTCTGTTTTGTCTCTACTGTGTCTTGAGGTTAATAAGACAAGAAAGCAGAGCTTGTCCTGTTACTGAAAAAGCAAAAAAAAAGTTTTTTAATCCATTTTTGAAAAATTAATTTTCATTATTAGGTTTAGATTATGTGGAGCGTCCACCATATACTGTGGTTTGAACTAAAGCTAGCACTAGTGTCGGGGTTGAAAATTAATCAGTACCTTCTGACCAATCAGATTTAACAATTCAACAGCAAAAATATTTCCATGCAACTTCGCAGGAAATCTTTTAAACAGGTATACTTTGTAAACCTTTTACATGTAAAGCCAGATACAGCAAGGAGTTTTCATAAATCTCAGAAGATCTGACACTGAAAAAACTAAGTTGGATCGATGTTGCATGAATCCTGATCTGATTGTACAGACTGAGGTCACATTGCTATACTGTAGCTCAGAGTCAGATTTCAGTCCCACGTATGAAAGTGGCCCAAATCAAAGTTGAAACTGTCCGAAGCGATATAATTTTTTGTTATTCACATTGGAATGAAAAGCCAGATCTGTGTCACATACAAGGGAAAAGAGTGGACTGGAATTCGGGACACCGTTGCCTGCAGTGTAACCTAGTGTCACATTCTTTATCTGAGCTGGCAGAACAAAAAAAACTGAACGAGCTTAACCTTCAGCTACAAGGAGAAGATGATGACATCCAGCACGTGATCAGTGCAGAGAATACACTTAGGGTGAAGCTGAGTGTGTGGGTCACCCATCTGAGGAACTGAAAGCTGGCACACTTACCAAATGTGGAAAAGATATCTGACAGTGATGCATTTCAGCCTAAAACACTTCTGTGGCCACCAGCACAGAGGTCAGCCAGTGTTTTTAGGAGCTGAATGACATGGAACATGATGCGATGTTTATCTCAAACTCTTTCATGGCTACACGAACTGAAAGGTGTCTGCTATGTTAGAGAAGGTCTTTGCATTGCCAAAAAAACATAAACATTGAGTTGATTTGTTTGCAAAGTGACACTGAACTTGAAGTGAGGCTTTTTGAGATTTTTTTTTTATTAAAGAGAGGCGACCTTTTGCTGTATCCTTTGATTCAAAGTGAATGCATATTTTGGATTCCAGAAACGAAAATAATAAAATCAACATCAGACAAACTGCTTTAGCCTCACTGTATGCACCTAGAATCTGAATCACAAAGGATATGATAAGTCTTAGATTCAATATGTTACTAGTATGAACATGTACATTTTAATTTCAGAAATAATTGACTCTACCATATGTTGAATTTCTGTTGCATATTTTGAAAGCGATTTGAGCGGGTCTCTGGAGGACTAGTGGTTAGGACGCAGCACTCTCACTGCTGCTGCCCGGGTTTGATTCCTGGCCAGGGAACCAACCCCAGCCACTGGGGGTGCGTGCAACAGTGTGCCCTCAGTCCCGTTCCCAAGCCCGGATAAAACTGTGGAGGGTTGCGTCAGGAAGGGCATCTGGTGTAAAGTCTGTGCCAAATCAAATACGTGGACCAATGATCCGCTGTGGCGACCCCTAACGGGAGCAGCCGAAAGAGGAACATTTTTAAGTGATTTGAGCAAATTCACATGTATTTTCAAATATGAACATAAAATGAACATGCGCATTTTGCAGAAATAAATAACTCTACGAAATGCTGAATTTCTGTTGCATATTTTGAAAGTTGACATGAGTAAATTAATATGTACTTTTGAATGCACTATGCAGGAAATGCTTGAGTAGAGTGGATTAATTAAACAATTACCATGATTCATTTATCATTATTAGTAGTTGTAGCTGGGGCGGTTGCTGTGAATGTTCAAGCAGGGCCCAGGCCCTCCACTTTGAACAAAAATGCATGTTGTCCTACACATACATTGCAGTGTAGATTCAGGCAGCCTATCAGTTACAGTCGTATCAAGTGCTTACACAGAGTGAAACGCCCCGTACATTAGATATGCCTGTACATTTTCATATTTAAATGCTAACGCCTCGTCAGCAGTGACGGCATGTGAACTATAGTAGTGTTCCTAAAGTGTTAGGAACAAGGTGGATTACTTCAGTCAGTCTTAGTCAGTAAGACTAAGAAATGCATTTGGAGGTAAAAGAAGTAAATAGACGACACTGTCTAATCAAAGCTACAAAGAAATTACACAGCGGGATGAACGAACCATACATTTTATGCCTATGATGAGACCCGTGCTATACTTAATGGTTTCATAATACTAATGCTGACTTACTGAGGGGTGTTAAAATATTAAAAAAGTAGTCCTCTCATTGAATACTGTGGCCAGCCTGGTGGTGGTAGTGGTAATAGTATTAATATTAACAGTAGTAGCATTTATATTACTAGTTGCAATAATTATAATTTTAGTAGTAGTAGTAGTAGTAGTAGTAGTAGTAATAGTTACAGTAATAGTAGTTGCAGTAGTATTAGTAATATTATTAGTAATGGTAGCAGTAGGGGCAGTAATAGTAGTAATAGTTATAGTTGTAATAGCAGTCACAGTAGAATTAGTAAAATAATTAGTAGAAATAGTAGCAGTAGTAGCAATAGTAGTAGTAATGGTGGTAGTAATAGTAATAGTAGTAGTATTGGCAGTGCTAGTAGTAGAAGTAGTAGTGATACTAATACTAGTAGTATTTCTAGTAGGAGTAGTAGTGGTAGTAGTTGATTTGGGCTTAAAATTCTAATGAAAAAAAAAAAGTAAATATATTATAGGCTTGTAAATGTTGAAGTCCACAGGTCTACATGTACATGCGTACCAAACTATGTACTCAGATATGTGATGCCGACTTTGACAGGTGGTTCAGATCCTGCCTACTACCCCGCCCTCCTCCCATACAGACAACCAGCAGATGGGCACTGTGAGCTAGGAAGTTGCCAGACTGGCATCTCCCCATGCCACAGCCTCTCACCTGGTAGCCTCCGAGGTCATCTCTGCCAGGCGTGGGCACCCAATCAAATAAAGCCGGCTATTAGAGAAAGGACAACAGAGGGTTCGAATTTGCGTCATTTCTTATAGCAAAATCACCCTAAGTGATTGAATACGCATGAATTTATTATGAGCTCAGGTTTGTAATGTGACATTTATTTCCTAAAAACAATATACAGTGCTTGAAATTTGAAGGTGTAAAACAGTAGGGCAATTCCAAAGAGCAAGGACTGTGTAAGACTTTCCAATTTTGAGAGTTTGCACACCCAATTATACTGTATTAAAATAACACAAAATTAAAATCAATATGTTCTATTTTTCAAACAAATTAACATTCTGATTTACTAAGCATTCTGATTTATCTATTTACTGGAAGCAGGAGGGATGATTATTCATTATGCAAGAGATGACAACAATTATGCTAAAGATAAGATGAACGAGATGACAACAATAGTGAAATGCAATAATGAAATACACAATATAATAATGTTTTGGGGGAAATTTAGATGTTTGGACTCAGAATAATCCGGGATGTATACATTTTTATTTCTTAAAGTATTTGTTTCAGCTTAACACGACATTATTCGTTTATAATAATAATAATAATAATAATAATAATAATAATAATAATAATAAACGGAGTTGATGTTAAAAATAAATCCGCTTGGTAGTGGAGTTAAACTTTTGGACCTTCCAATAAATTTATTTTATTTTATTTTTTTGATAGCACATTCTCATCCATTTATCATCTGTCAGCCAACAATGCCGGCCTGTTATTTTTACATTAAGGTTATGCTTTGAGTGATCGAGTATATCCCACGTTGGCATTGATGTCAAGCAAAGTGTCCAAACGGACTTCAGAACAAATAAATCAACGCAACCCAAACCAGTCCATTGTTTTTGTGGGAGTGAGCCAGGCCACCCATCTGTCAGGGCGCACACAAACAAACACAATGTAGCCAGTAGCTTGGCAGCTTGACCCAAAATAACATCTGCGATCTTTTGCTGCCCGGGTTCATTATGCAATATTCATGCCCACAAGAGCAAGCATGAGAGCGCGAGGAGCCCGATGGCATCCAGAAACACAGACATGCAGCTAAAAACAGATTTAGCTCAAACACTACAGTGTATATGACGAGTGTATATTAAGATCAAGTAAATTTAGAGGATCAACGAACATCAGGCACTTACAATGCTGTTGTTTGGGAACATTATGCACTTGATATAAATTCTTTACCAAACAAAATTCTTGAATTCTGTTCAAAATATGTTTTTTTTTTATTCAGTGTATTTCCAACTCAATAATAATTACAGTCATTGGTTTGAAGTAGTTTAAAATGAACAGAACTGGTTTGTTTCAAAAACAATGCCCATGCACACATCCTGATTCATCTAAAAAAAAAAAAAAAACCCCATTTGCTAATTTGCCTTTTATTATTTTATAATGAGTTCAATAACCATTTTGCTCATGATAATAAGAATCGTTTTCACGCACATATACAATTTCTTTTGATTTATGTTGCTGTATATGTTCTCTTACAGTGTCCTCAATGAACAAGTAAGCAAAAGGACATGTGTAAGAGCATAAAACACATAAAAAAATACTCATTGCAATCTTTATATGGTCCCATGAAGGCTGCAAAACAAGCCTGCATTAAAATTGACCTTACCACTAACATATTTCATGTAGACATTTATCATCTTTTTATAATATAATTGGGGATCATATCATTACCGGAATCCCAGAAAACACAATTTATGTCTTAGCAATATCATATGTAGCTCCCGTGCTAATTGGGATGTTGGCACAACAGCATTTTTTTTCTTTTTTACTGAAACAAGAGTGCGTGGCATACACAGAATTAAGAGCTAGCACATACATATTGTATATTAGCTCTATTGACTTATTTATCCTCATACTAGATAGATGGATAAGCTAAAAATGTGCACTTAATCTCACCTGGATACTGTAGACTTGTAGCTAAGAACTGATGCTCACACTGAACATCTTTCCAACACATTTAGTATGGTTTGATTTTATAGTATGTAATTGTGGAAGAGTAATGATTTATAATCGCACTGTCCTGTGTCAGAAGAGGCGTTCCCCGGCTGCCGGCGACTTCACTACCCCCACGCTGAGATCGCGCAGACGGCGAAGGCACAGGAAGCAAAAGAGGGGCAAGCGAGGAGGCCTACAAGCGAAGCTAAAAGCTCATTTTTCCTCAGGAAACTGAAACAGGCGCACCTCTCACATCACCTGCTGACCAATTTCTATCGGTCAACAATAGAGAGCCTTCTGACCTACTGCATCACAGTGTGGTTCAGCAGCTGCACAGAAGAGAATAAAAAAGACCTGCATTGGGTGGTGAGGGTGGCAGAGCGCATCATTGGCACAACACTACCTCCCCTCAAAGACATTTACACTGGCCGTCTCAGAAAGAAAGCCAGTTGTATCATAATGGACGCCACTCACCCTGGACATCACCTGTTTCCCCCTCTGCCCTCTGGGAAGAGATACAGAACAATCAAAACGAGGACTAACAGATTAAAGAACAGTTTCTTCCCACAGGCAGTCAAATGCATAAATCCTCCTCCTTCCCTCCTTCTGCTCCCAAGCATTATCGAACAGTAAAGCAATGTCTCAGGTCTACAAGTGCAATAATACACACGCACACACACCACACTGCATATATGCACTAATCTGTAAACACCTCTCATATGTTTACACAAATCTTATACTGTTACACTTATTTATTAATCATATATCCTGATATACATTCACAGAGTATATAACAACACTATGTATACCTTTTGGAATACCTCTCTTCTTGTCTATTTTATTTTATCTGTATTCGTCTATTATGCCAAAACCTTGTGAGCTGCTAAACAGTCTTTCATTGTTCAAAACAATGACAATAAAAATCTATTCGATTCTATTCTCTTCTATATAGTACCTTCACAGGCAGTTTCATTTTCACTAAATCTACCTTGAGTAATATTCTGAATAAATGTAGCCTAATCTGTCTATCAGTACATGTTTACTGGGTGTACAAGACATTTAAACATGAAATGAAATAGATCATCTGCAATGGGCCTTTATATACGATGCCTTGCAAAAGTATTCACACCCCTTGATGTTTTTCTTGTTTTGTTGCATTTGTTGCAACCTGTAATTAAAATTGATTTTTTATTTGGATTTTATGCAGTAGACCTAACAAAATAGTCCAAAAAGTTGAAGTGGAATGAAAAAAGTACCTTGTTTACAAAAAAGGTCCACCTGTATGCAATCAAAGTGTCACATGATCTGTGACATAATGTCAGTAGAAATGCACCTGTTCTGAAAGGCCCCTTCCTGAGATTCAAGAAAGAGCTGCAAAGATCCACAGCAGGGATGGGAGTATCTGTCCACACGACCACTTTAAGCCGTACACTCCACAGAGCGGGGCT